GTTGTTCCAAAATTCAAATTTCTGTAAAAAGAACGGCGCTCTTTGCCGGTAAGCTGAAACTGTTTAAGTTGTTACACTAATTTTGTCATCAAAATTTTAAAAAGAGTTCTTCCTGTAGTGTGTTTTTTTACAAAATTCCAATTTATTCAGCTATTAGAATGATTTTCAGGCTTATTTTATTGATAAAGCCGAAAATGAGGTTTTGTGATCACGGCGCGTACTACGAAAATCGCTATTTTGTGCGTTGGCAAAAACCAAAGGAAATTATCGATTTTCGTCTGCCAATTTTGGAAAATTGCGCGGTAAGGTTAATAGCACGGGAAGCTTCTTTATTTGGTAGTTTTTCCTTCCCAAAGGAAGCGTTCGTTCCGATTTAGAAACGCAAATTTGGAGGGGCGAAAGGGAAAAAAGCAGCTGAAAAAGATCCCAACTAGCTAGCTCGAGAACTGTCCAAGTAATAGGCCCAGTAATTACTGGTTTATTGTTACGGCGGATTTCAGGTTGCATTTGGTGATGCCATTCTGAAAACGAGTGATGGCGTATCAATTGGTGTGGAAGTATGCGAGGAATTATTCGCCTGTAAATCGTAATTTTTTAACGTACATTAGTTGAATAGCTGAAATTTCATCGTTGTATTCCGTCTCGCCACGGATAGCACTGCCAGCGACTCTTTTGCTGCCCCATGTAGAGAATTTAGGTGATCTCTTCCGTTTCACAGCTCTCCTTTTTGGCGTTGGCGTCCTCATCACATACGGTGCAATTTGACGCTGTTGATTTTTGCATCACACCTTAACACCGTGGCAATAGAAATAATAGCGAATGCGAATTTGACGCATATTTCTATTAATTTAGCTAAAAGAATCTGCTCGAACAGTGCTACTTATAATAAACAGTTGTGGAGAAATCTGTGCAAACCGGCAGACCTTGTGTTCGCTGACCTCCCATTACGAATTTTTAATTCAGGGTCTGCTTTTCATGTTTGCATCGGGCAACTCCCAGTTGATTGGACTGGTGTTATATCGCCTGATGAGCACCCTTTGGCGATCATGAAATTCGTTTTGTTTCTCGAAAGTATTCTTTTTTGAAATGCAGAAATGATATGAATTATTTGAAAAAAAAGATGCTCTTTATGCGTTTTTGCGTACATGCAAATGCGAAAATGCATTTTGCGACGACCCCGGTATATGTATGTGTGTGTGTGTGCGTCTGTCCGGGTATTTCAACTTGGCACCCAAACAAGCTCCGACGCCAAAATTTTGCGAGTGAGTTTCCGGGCAAGGTGCCACCTCAGGACCGCGGTACTAACCCTCACGCTCGTCCAGACTCCACGCATGAGAGTTATGGCGGGAAAAGCTAGGAAACTGAAACTTTGAGGTTTTGTTCCCCGTCCATATAGAACTCATGCACAACTTAAAGTTATCAAATTCAGCGCCGGGCATGCGTGGTCCTCACGTACGCCCCGTGGAAATTTTTGGCCCGGAAATGGCTAACTCCGGAACCAGGAAAGCTGTGAGGTCAAAATTTTTAGGGGATGTTCCCTGTCCAAGCACAGCATAGGCAATTAACTTCCCGAAATTCGAGGGTCAGTATGTTATACATTTCTAGCTGCTGAGTTTCCAAGCAATCTCATTACAGTACAAAACACTGCAAAAATGCGTGATCGCATGAGCTCGCCCGGTGTGCATTGCAAATAATTCTCTCACCACTGCTTGATCAGTAAATATGTGCCTATAAAATTGGTAATTTTACAGTTCTGTTTTAGGTCGTACATAGATTTAGCGCAGGATGGTGTTGATATCGTCTGCAATCCGTCGGCCAGTTTTCATGTTTTGGGCAGTTTGGACCATCGAATCAATAACCTCGTTATGGAAAGCACCGCTAAGGTTTCATTCTCATACTCCAAGGAGAAATGAATCGTTGCGTGTCACTTGTACGTGTACTTACAGAATAATTACAGGCGGGCGGTATCTGTTTGTATTCAAATTTTCGTGGCTGTGACGGTGAGCGTGTCTTTTACGATGGTGGGTCAGCAATCGCGCAAAATGGACAACTGTATGCTCGGATACCTCAATTTGACATTGAAGATGTGGTATGCTTCCTTCAGCTTTTCGGTTTTTAACTTTACATCAGGTAATTCGAGGGTTTTGTACAGAGGGAAATTTGACTTTTTATGCGTTTTTTGCAGCAATGCAATGCGAAAAACGCATATTGACGAGAGGTTGTCT